TACAATTTTGTGCTGGCTAACCGGCACTTGAAGGTCCTTTTCGACATTTTTCGCGATTTAACCGGCACTTGAAGGTCCTTTTCGACAATTTTGTGCTATTTAACCGGCACTTGAAGATCCTTTTCGACAATTTTGTGCTATTTAACCGGCACTTGAAGGTCCTTTTCGACATTTTTCGCGATTTAACCGGCACTTGAATTCTCTTTTCTTATTCTTTTTTCTTTTCTTTATCTTTTTTTCTTTTTTTTGCTGGAATTTCTGAAGCAAAATCTGAAGGACATGCGCTTGGGAGTAGCAAGAATTTTAGGTACACTTCCTCTACCTACAGCATATATGGAAGTCCAATTTTGTCAAAACTAAATTTTGTCGGAACTTTCATTTGGTCAAAATTTTAATGCGCTGGGATTTGAGTTAACCGGGATGAAAAAGGCACTGGAAGTTTCGAGAAAATGAAATATCGGCAAAATGATGTTTCGACAAAAGAAAAGAAGCCCGCTGCAAAGCTCAGAAAGACTGAATTAGAATCTCAATTAGCACTGGCGGACGCCGAAAAGCTAAAGATCCGAAAAATCACTTCCATTATCTCCCACCATGGACGCCCTCGGACCGAGCCGAGAGGGGGTAGGTTTTTGGAGGACCGAATTCAATAGTATATGCAAATAACGGGGCCCTATGGTAATCTTCCAGCAGAACCCACCCGCACGGTGAGCAACTCAGAAACAGAAACGCAATTTACACGAAAGGTGCGCGATGCCGTGGCGGGTGGAATAACGTCCGTCAACGCCGAGCCGTTCTTCCACAGCTTTATCGAAGGAGCACGAGACGTCCAAATATTTGATGGAACCGGGTAAGAGAGAGTCTCTGCTAGCTTGCGTACTTCTCTTCCTCAACAATCTCTGCTAACCTGCCTCTCCTCTTCCTCAACAATCTCTGCTAGCCTGCCCTCTCCTCTTCCTCAACAATCTCTGCTAGCCTGCCCTCTCCTCTTCCTCAACAATCTCTGCTAGCCTGCCCTCTCCTCTTCCTCAACAATCTCTACTAGCCTGCCCTCTCCTCTTCCTCAACAATCTCTGCTAGTCTGTTCAACCACAGCCACAGCTAGTTCACCCAAAAATTCTTTCCAGGCGACTTTCTCGTCCGCCGGGTGCTGTCCTGGAAGAACAACTCCGAGTCGACGCAGGACAAGCGCTACATCATCGCCTTCATGACGTCGAAACAAGAGATTGAAGAGGCAGACTAGCAGGGACACTTTGGGAAGATATTAGGTTGCCATCCAGATACTCCCGTACCAGCCGCGTCTACTACCTCCACGAATACTGCTTCAACACGGCGCAGGGTTAGGTTTTGGGTCAAATTCTTTGTTTGCATGCCAAAATTCAGGCCCCGTCTCCTACCACCGGGACTTCCACGTATCGTTGGACCGCTTCGCCGACAAGTTCATCGTAATCAGCGGCGTCGACCTGGCCCACGAGCACAAGATCTACCATGAGCAGATCCAGCGGTAGGGCATCGTACTCAAGGATCTCTGTTAGCTGCCCCGCTAAACGCGGTATTTTTCAGCATCAAGGCCCTGGGCGACGGCACGGGGTCGGCGAAGTGTTCAAGGCCTACTACCGTGCCGGGGTCTTTTCCAACGTTCCGGTGGCCGTCAAGATTCTGGTCGGCGCGACGACGGGAGGGACAGCGAGAGGCGTTGCTCAAGGTGGGGTGGGCTTGTGGAGATTGTTGAGGGAGCGGACAGGGCAGGCTGGGGCTGATGACTGTTGAGGAAGGGAGAGGACAGGCTAGCGGAGATTGTTGAGGAAGAGGAGAGGGCGGGGCCTAGTAGAGTTGTTGAGGAAGAGGAGAGGCAGGCTGGGAGGAGATCGGTGAGGGAAGAGGGAGAGGGCAGGCCAGCCGAGATCGTTGAGAATTTTTTTAGGAAGCGCTGCTCATGCGCTCGCGCTGAAGATCCACCACCCGAGCGTCGTCGACTTGGTGGCCATCGCCTGCCTCACGAGAAACAGCCGCTGGTGCACTCGTCCTCCCAGCTGTGCCAGGGTCCGTTTTCCCCAAGATTTTCGCTAGACTGCCCTACCTTTCCTCAAAATTTCCTGCTAACCCGCCTGTTCCAGGTACCCTGCTCGATTTTGTGCAGCCGCCCGACGAGATGCTGCCCCAACAAGGTCTTGTTAAAGTGGGCGTACCCAGAACCCGGAATTTTCAGCGCTGCCCGCCTATCGCGGAGCGTATCCACCTGGGTGTGCGGCGCGGCGCGCCAGGCTCGCCTTCTTGCACGAGAAGCAGATCATCCACCGTGACGTCGCCGCCCGCAACGCGCTCATCGGCAAGGACAACGAGGCCAAGATCAGGTCCATTTTGGGGTCTTTTGCGTTATCGGGGGGGGGGGTCAATTTTCCTAGGAGTTAAGTTCCTCAAATTGACTCTGCTAGCATGCCCCGTCCTCCTTGATCACGATCCCGATCTGTATTTGTAGTTTCCAGTGACTTTGGCCTGTCGCGCGCCGGCTCGCTGCATCAGGAGACCAAGCTGAAGAAGGTGCCCATCCGCTACCTGGCCGTAGAGACGCTCACCAAGGGCATCTACTCGCCCCGCACCGACGTCTGGGCGTTCGGGGTGTTGATGTGGGAGGTGGGTAGCTCTCGCTCTCTTTCTCTCTCTCTCTCTGGCTTTACCCCATGCTCTCTCAGGTATTCAACGATGGCAAGACCCCCTACGAGGACATTGATGACTCCAAGATCAAGGAGGTCAGTGTGAAAAGCGCAGGCAGGCTAGCAGAGACCGCGGAGGAATTTTTGGAGCATGCTAGCAGCGATTATTTAGGAAATTCTCGCAGTTTCAGATCAAAGCGTTCGTGAAAAGGGGTGGCCGGATGCAGCCGGGGGACACGTTCCCCGCCGAGCGCATGAAGCTGTGCCAGAACTGCTGGCAGGAGGATCCGAATAAAAGGTTCATTTTGGGATTTTAACTGTTTTAAACACTGCACTAAACTTTTAAACTTCCAGGCTGACGATGGCCGAGTGTGCCCCACATCTGCGGGCTGCAGTACAGCGTCTCCGGCGGCTGGATTACAGCCGTGGGTTCCCCAGAATCACCTCTGCTAAGCCTGCCCTCCCATCTTCACATCAACAATCTCTGCTAGCCTGCCCTCTCCTCTTCCTCAACAATCTCACTGCTAGCCTGCCCTCTCCTCTTCCTCAACAATCTCACAGCCTGCCCTCTCCTCTTCCTCAACAATCTCTGCTATGCTGCCCTCTCCTCTTCTCCAATAATCTATGCATAGCCTGCCCTCCTCCTCTTTATCAACAATCTCTGCTAGCCTGCCCTCTCCTCTTCCTCAACAATCTCTGCTCGCCTGACCCGATTTACTTTCAGGATGTCATTTGGGTTCCTGTTCTGTTAGTGGGGGCGTGTTTACCGAAACAATCCGGGGTTGCGATGGCATTTAAGCGGTTTGTGGAAATACCCCCCGCTAACAGGGCGGTACCCAAATCGCGCCATTATCAGAATTTCTACATTACGAAATTTTGAAAGTATGAATTTTCGACACTTGAAATTTCTGCATTCCAGAAACGCTACGCGATCATCCAGCAGCCCAACTGGGACCTCTCGACGCTTTCCCGCCGTCCAAGCGGGCGCATGAAGATTGTGATGTGTGAGCGGAAAGCCGACGGGCTCGACGTTCCGGCTCCAGAAGCTTTGCTGCCCCTCCGCCCACATAAGCACGCCCCTCAGATTGAGCATCAGCAGCCCCCCTCCCACCCACACGGCCGCAGCTTCAATGGCCCTTTAAAACGAATCGCCTCCTCCTCTCCTCCTCCGCTTCTGAGTTGTTCTCAATTCCTTCCCTATTCACCGTGTGTCTCCAAATATGTGTCGCTTTTGTGCCTCCTAAATTGTGCCCCGTTGAGTGTTGAGTTAATTTAATGTATAAATGGTTTTTGGTTTTTTGTATTTTTCGCTTATTTTGGTATATCGCTATTCCAAGTGTGGTGTTGGATTTTATTTATCACCAACAACTCCGCACGAAACACACAAAATTTCGATCAAAAAATGAAAAACTAAAGAAAACGGAATTTAAATTTCAGTCGAAAATTAATTAGAATTCCCCAAAATAAAATTATAATGAGATCAAAAATATGCAAATTTGGCTTAATGCGGGCACCGGTTTCTCGTCACACAGCCGAAATATGCAAATCGATAATGGATAGGGCTTGGGCTTAGGCTTAGGCTTAGGCTTAGGCTTGGGCTTGGCTTAGGCTTGGGCTTAGGCTTTGGCTGAGGAGCTTAGGCTTGGGCTTCGGCTTAGGCTTAGGCTTAGGCTTGGGCTTGGCTTAGGCTTAGGCTTAGGCTTGGGCTTGGCTTAGGCTTAGGCTTAGGCTTGGGCTTGGCTTGGCTTAGGCTTAGGCTTGGGCTTGGCTTAGGCTTAGGCTTAGGCTTGGCTTAGGCTTAGGCTTAGGCTTAGGCTTGGGCTTGGCTTAGGCTTAGGCTTAGGCTTAGGCTTAGCCTTAGGCTTAGGCTTTGGCTTAGGCTTTGGCTTAGGCTTCAAATTCAAGCCAAATACAGCAAATCTAAAGTCACATAAATCAGCATGCAAATCTCAAAATATCAACATGAAAAGCGGCATTTCGAATCGACTTTAACCAGATCAAAAATCAGCAAAATTTGTATGAAAAATCTCGCTACAGTACCCTCAGGCCACCGTGCTCAGCAGACTGTCGTGCCGGGCGTCGCTGGGGCGCTTCGCGCGCGCGCGCCGCCGCGTCGGGAAGCGGCGCAGCAGTGCGTTGTTGGCGGCGGCTGACATTTGGGCTGAAAAACGTTCATGATTATTGAGCTAGAAATTCAGTAATTAAATCGGTAGTAAACTCCGAAAATTCGATGTTCCTAATGGCATTTAAATTTCTAATTTAATTTGTAAAAATCAGTGTTTTTAATTGTATTTTACCCTGCGCCAGCTGCGTTGTCCTCAATGGCCTTCTCTGCTGGGCGGATGCAAATTTCTCGACAATCATGGAAATCGGGAAGGCGAGCACGATGATGCCGCAGATGCTCGTGGTGGTAGCAACGAGTTTTCCGGCTGAAAATTGTTAATGAAACTTACTGAATCTCTTGCTAGCATGCCGTCCCTTTTCAGGCTCAGACTTAGGCTTAGGCTTAGGCTTAGCTTTCCTCACCTGTCGTAACCGGCTTAGCGTCCCCATATCCAACCGTGGCCATCGTGACCCTAAATCGTGCCCTGGCTACCGTAAGCTTTGACTTACACACACCACCAGCACCCGGCGGGGATACTGTAGAAATCAGTGTTCGGCTCGTCCCGCTCGAGATAATACATAATCGTGGAGAAAAACACGATTCCGGTGAGGAGGAACATCGACAACATCGACAACTCGGTGATGGAGGAGCGGAGGGTGTGGCCGAATGTCTGGAATTGAGGGCAGGCTGGCAGAGATTGTTGAGGAAGAGGAGAGGGCAGGCTAGCAGAGATTGTTGAGGAAGAGGAGAGGGCAGGCTAGCAGAGATTGTTGAGGAAGAGGAGAGGGCAGGCTAGCAGAGATTGTTGAGGAAGAGGAGAGGGCAGGCTGGCAGAGATTGTTGAGGAAGAGGAGAGGGCAGGCTAGCAGAGATTGTTGAGGAAGAAGAGAGGGCAGGCTAGCAGAGATTGTTGAGGAAGAG